TTGCTGTAAATTGCTTTTACTATGTTTAGGTAGGGGCCTTGAATTCCTGATCTTTCCAAGACTTTTATCATGAAGGGATGTTGAATTTTGTCAAATGCTTTCTCAGCATCTAGTGAGATGATCATGTGGTTTTTTTCTTTAAGTTTGTTTATATAGTGGATTACATTGATGGATTTCCAAATATTGAACCATCCCTGCATTCCTGGGATAAAACCTACTTGATCATGACGGATGATTGTTTTGATGTGGTCTTGGATTCAGTTTGCTAGAATTTTATTGAGTATTTTTGCATCGATGTTCATAAGGGAGATTGGTCTGAAGTTCTCTTTCTTTGTCGGGTCCTTGTGGGGTTTGGGTATGAGTGTAATTGTAGCTTCATAGAACGAATTGGGTAGTGTTCCTTCTGTCTCTATTTTGTGGAATAGTTTGAAGAGAATTGGTATTAGGTCTTCCTTGAAGGTCTGATAGAATTCAGCACTAAAACCATCTGGTCCTGGGCTTTTTTTAGTGGGGAGGCTTTTGATGACTGCTGCTATTTCCTGAGGGGTTATGGGACTATTTAGATTGTTTATCTGCTCCTGGTTTAACTTCGGTACCTGGTATCTGTCTAGGAAATTGTCCATTTCATCCAGGTTTTCCAGTTTTGTTGAGTATAGGCCTTTGTAGTAAGATCTGATGATTTTTTGAATTTCTTCAGTTTCTGTTGTTATGTCTCCCTTTTCAGTTCTGATTTTATTAATTTGGATACTGTCTCTGTGCCCTCTGGTTAATCTGGCTAACGGTTTATCTATCTTGTTGATTTTCTCAAAGAACCAACTCCTGGTTTTATTGATATTTTGTATTGTTCTTTCTGTTTCTATTTGGTTGATTTCAGCCCTGAGTTTGATTATTTCCTGCCTTCTACTCCTCCTGGGTATATTTGCTTCTTTGTGTTCTAGAGCTTTTAGTTGTGCAGTCAACTTGTTAGTGTGTGGTCTTTCCAGTTTCTTTTTGTAGACACTTAGAGCTATGAGCTTTCCTCTTAGCACTGCCTTCATGGAGTCCCACAAGTTTTGGTATGATGTGTCCTCATTTTCATTGAATTCTAAAAAGTCTTTTATTTCTTTCTTTATTTCTTCCTTGACCAAGTCATCATTGAGTAGAGAGTTGTTCAGTTTCCATGTGCACATGGGTTTTCCATTGTTTTTGTCATTATTAAAGACCAGTCTTAGTCCGTGGTGATCTGATAAGGTGCAAGGGATTATTTCAATCTTTTTGTATCTGTAGAGGCTTGTTTTGTGACCAATTATATAGTCTATTTTGGAGAAGGTACCATGAGGTGCTGAGAAAAAGGTATATTCTTTTGTTTTAGGATGAAATGTTCTATAGATGTCTGTTAAGTCCATTTGGTTCATAACTTCTGTTAATTTCAAAGTGTCTCTGTTTAGTTTCTGTTACCATGTTCTGTCCATTGCTGACAGTGGGGTGTTGAAATCCCCCACTATTATTGTGTGAGGTGTAATGTGTGTTTTGAGCTTTAGTAAAGTTTCTTTTATGTATGTAGGTGCCCTTGCATTTGGAGCATAGATGTTCAGAATTGAGAGTTCACCTTGGTAGATTTTTCCTTTGATGAGTATGAAGTGTCCTTCCTTATCTTTTTTGATTAATTTTGGATTAAAGTCGATTTTATTTGATATTAGAATGGCTACTCCAGCTTGTTTCTTGGGACCATTGTCTTGGAAAATTGTTTTCCACCCTTTTATTCTGAGGTAGTGTCTGTCTTTGTGACTGTATGCAGCAAAATTCTGGGTCTTGTTTGTGTATCCAGTCTGATAGTCTGCATCTTTTTATTGGGGAATTGAGACCATTGATGTTAAGAGATATTAAGGAAAAATTATTGTTGCTTCCTGCTATTTTTGTTATTAGAGTTAAAGTTATGTTTGTATCTTCTTTTGGGGTTGTTGGAAGATTACTTACTTTCTTTTTCTAGGTTGTAGTTTCCCTCCTTGTGTTGGCATTTTCCATCAATTATCCTTTGAAGTGCTGGGTTTCTGGGAAGATATTGTGCAAATTTGGTTTTGTCATGGAATATCTTGGTTTCACCATCTATAGTGATTGAGAGTTTTGCTGGGTATAGTAATCTGGGCTGGCAATTGTGTTCTCTTAGGTTCTGTATGATGTCAGTCCAGGCTCTTCTGGCTTTTATAGTCTCTGGTGAGAAGTCTGGTGTAATTCTTATAGGTCTGCCTTTATATGTTACTTGACCTTTTTCCCTTACTGCTTTTAGTATTTTTTCTTTGTTTTGTGCATCTGATGTTTTGATTATTATGTGATGGGAGGTATTTCTTTTCTGGTCTAGTCTATTTGGTGTTCTGTAGGCTTCTTGTATGTTTATGGGCATCTTGTTCTTTAGGTTAGGGAAGTTTTCCTCAATAATTTTATTGAAGATATTTACTGGCCCTTTAAGTTGGGAATCTTCATTCTCATCTATACCTATTATCCTTAGGTTTGGTCTTCTCATTGTGTCCTGGATTTCCTTGATGTTTTGTGTTAGGAGTTTTTTGCATTTTGCATTTTCTTTGACAACTGTGTCAATATTTTCCACCGTATCTTCTGCATTTGAGATTCTCTCTTCTATCTCTTGTATTCGGTTGGTGATGCTTGCGTCTGTGACTCCTGATCTCTTTCTTAGGTTTTCTATCTCCATGGTTGTCTCCCTTTGAGCTTTCTTCATTGTTTCTATTTCTAGTTTAAGATCCTGAATGTTTTTCTTTAATTCCTTCTTTGTGTTTTCTTCCATTTCTTTAAGGGATTTCTGTGATTCCTCTTTAAGGGCTTCTATCTGTTTACTTGTACTCTCCTGTATTTCTTTAAGGGAGTTACTTAATTCCTTCTTATAATCCTCTATCATCATCATGAGAAGTGATTTTAATTCTGAATCCTGCTTTTCAGGTGTGATGGGGTGTTCAGGGCTTGCTATATTGGGAGAACTGGGCACAGATGATGCCAAGAAACTTTGGTTTCCATTGCTTATGTTCTTGTGCTTGCCTTTCGCCATCTGGTTAACTCTAGTGGTACCTGCCCTCACTGTGTAAAACTGGAGTCTGTATTTCCAGTTATCTTGCTTATTGCAGAGCTCCTCAGAGTCTAGAGGTCTCTGTGGTCTTATGCTCCTTATCTCCTGGGTGGAAGATCTCCTGGGACTCAGGCCACCTCTTGGATCTGGAAATCCTTCTGCTCTGAGTGCAGTGGGTCCTCGATGACTCAGGATTCAGTTTCAGCTGCTCTGAGTGCAGTGGCTCCTGGATGACTCAGGATTCAGTTTCTCAACAGGACAGGAGCAGACCGACTCTGTGTCTGCTCCAGCCCAGAGGACCAGGCAGGGGCGGAAGGGAAGTGGAATTCCGGAGGGGCGGGGTTTGGGTAGCTGCTGTGCCCTGGATGTCCCTGGCTCCCCGATGTATCTCTGGGCCTTAGGGAGTGAGATGGAGTTCTTACCAGCTGCTCTGAGTGCAGTGGCTCCTGGATGACTCAGGATTCAGTTTCTCCACAGGACAGGAGCAGACCGACTCTGTGTCTGCTCCAGCCCAGAGGTCCAGGCAGGGGCGGGAGGGCAAGAATTTTAATTCTTAAAATCTTCCACACTGAGGACTTGTTGATTTTTCATACATGGCTATTTCAAAAATTTAGAAATCAGTTTCCAGATTCCAATGAATATAAATCAGTACATTTACATATAATAGTTATTCTGTTATACGCATCCTCATATACCTGTACATATGCATACATAAGCATATAGCCATTTAAGACATTGCAATGTATATTTGCTTACATATATTTGCCTTTAAGATACAAACACACATATGTACATTTATATGTATATGTGTGTGTGGTACTGTGAAAGGATAGCTTAGTTTCTGTTAGAGCACTAGCTAGAGATGCCAGGAGACCCAACAGATATCCATACCTACAAGGGACAGCATACATTTCACCACACTCCAAAATTCCAGGGTCCTGACATGCAGCCAAGACATCCATTAGTCTGCACATTTCCCTCATGTAGGGCAATGCCCCTACAACCCCTCCCAAAGAGATGTTTGTATCACCAAGCACAGGTAGAGGGCTTGACTCCAGGCCTCAGCCTCAAGATATCTCCATATTAATGGGATAACTAAAGGTCAGAAGGTGTAGCCAATTAAGCATTCCTTCCCAGACCCTGCTCCCTCCTCCCTCCCTATTTAACTCAGGTCTGCCCTGAGAAATGGGGGTTGGGGGGTGGGAGGGCAGCCACATTCACTTTCCACCATGTCAATAAACCTTTTAAAACCATGGACTTCCTCATATCTTTGGGGTCCCACCATGGGGAACCATGAGAAGGCCTTTGACTACGGAGCAGCTGCTTAATCTCCTGCCAGAAGACTTCTTTTGGAGGAGTTGAAAGTTCTACATCTGAATATACAGGAAGCAGGAAAGAGAGACTGAGTTTGAAGTGGACTCTTTGAAACATCAAAGCCTATTCTCAAGGTCAAAATTCTTCCAACAAGGCCACACCAGCTTCAATAAGAGTACACCTTTTAATCCTATCAAATAGTATCACTCCCTAGAGATCAAGTATTCAATTAGTCTATAGGGTTCATTCTTATTTAAACCACTACACATACAGCATACTTGCAGGCAAAACACTCACATCATAAAATTAACTAGCTAATTAAAGTAAATGAATGTAAAAAATTAAAAAAAGGAATTATAGTTAATAAGAAAGAGACAAGAATTTCTGAGTCTTTGACTTGTGACATTATAGTACTTATATTTTCAAGCTCTTATGAATAAAATAATCACTGTCATGAGAGAACACAGGCTGTCCTACTTTTTGCACAGAGATCTTAATGCATATAATTTAACCAAAATTGAATAAATTAGCTTCTGTTAGGCATGAACTATACGGCAACTTGGTCCCACAACTTAGTCTGAGCTTGCAGGGATCTCTTAGTTAAGACTCTAACCTCTATTGCTTCAATCAGACAGCTTTGAAATGAGAATTGGCCAGACAGTAGGACGTCCTCTGATGTCATAAAACAAGAAGAAATATAAAATACACAAGAAAAAGAGGCAAAGGAATTTACGGCCAAGAAAACATGTAGCATACAGATACAGGGTTGACAACTGTGAAACAGCTTCAAGTTAAAACTTCAACTCCCTTTCAACTCTGAATTTGCACATGGTAAGTAAGTGAAATATTATTTACCAAGGATTGTCTATCATAAAATGTGTGAGTTCTTGTACCCTCCCAGCTTTAGCATAAAACCTACCTAAAAAATTTATAAGGTATGTTTCTCTGGAGTAGGTAATACTCCCTGATGACTACATGCTTGCATTGTAATGAACTATATTTCTAATCCTTACTTCATCTGTCCTAGAATTCTCTGAGGATCTTTATCTGCCCTCTCATTCTCATTCTTTGACTCTCTCTAAGGTCCCCACAGTTTACTGGAACTACTATTGTCTTGGTTGCTTTTCTTGTTACAAAATATTGAAAAAATGCAATTTCAGGAAATAGAATAGCTTGTTTCAGCTCATAGTTTGAGGTTATAGTCAATCCCTCATGGCAGGATGTCATGATGGCAGGAGAGTGAGGCAGCTGGACACATTGTAGCCATAGTTAGGAAACATAAAAAGATGTGGATGCACTTCTCACTTTCTCTACTTCACTCAGCCCAGGACTCAAGCCATGGACTTCAACACCTTTCTTAAAACATAAAACATAATCATAGACACAATTAGAGGTGTGACATTGCATGGTGATCCTAAATCAAATTAAAAATTAAGACTAGTCATCTCAGCCCATAGCTCCTTCTTCATAAGTATTGCCACAATTCCCTGAGAAGCATGTTTTCCATGTTGCTTTATTTCCAGTAAGCACTGAATCAGTATGCTGTCAGATGCTTCAAGACCTGATGTTCTTCTCCCTCTAGCTTATTTCAGGCTATTTTTGAAGTTTCTTCTGAGTTCTTAGATGAATACCTGAGTGTTGTGTTTCTTTTAGGTCTTTCTTCAGAGATTCTATCTCTTAATTAGATTATGTTTTCATCATCTTGAGTTGTTTATATTATGTAATTCTGAAAATATTCTGCAGAGGATCAGTAGTTAATAATGTCTGTTCTTATCTTACCCTTTCCTTCTAAATCACTCAGTACTTTTGAGAGTTAATTCAATTCCAATGCATGCCCTTCCTTTTTTTTGTAATTCATTAATTTATTTTTGTATTTATTTATTGTTTCCATAACTTTGGGTTCGATGTCTATCCCTCTACATAATATCTGATTCAAAGCTAGGGAGAGAGATTCTTAAGAATTGTACTAGGTACAATGACAAATATTTATCTTTTAACTCTTAGCAATGGCTGTGACCTATGTACTTTCATTTCGAATTTTAAATCTTTATGCTAAGAAAAATGTTTGACATATATTAAATCTAACTAAGTTCCTAAGAACCTATTTCATGGACCAACATGAGATCTGTTGTGGAAAATATCCTTAGTGTTACTGAGAAAAATGTGGGCCTGGTAGTGTATGGTGCCTTCGTATATTACTTTCCAATTTACTCTTCTATTCAGGATCTTTCACTGAATGTAGAGCTCGCAAAACAATTTCACTGAGATCCTAGGTTACTTCTGTCTCTACCTCTTCAGTAGTAAGAGTACATGTTCCTGATGCTATGCCTAGTCTTGATCACAGAGATGGTAAGGGTGTGAATTCAGCTCTCCATGATTGCAGAATAGTTATTTGACTGACTGAGCCAAATTCCTAGTCCCTCTTTTGTCATCACATTGTATTTATTGTCTAGTTATTACGCCTGTCTTCTTTATTCTCTCTCATTCTTATACTCTGACTCAGCAGTATTTGACTCTGTGTTATAGCTTATGGAATTTTCATAACATAAGCTATGATATAAATTGACCTACGAAAATGGGCTCACTTGTGAAATAATAACACAATTAATATAGAAATGACTAACATTTCTTTGGCCTGATATCAGGTCTATTACATTATATATACATACATACCTAATGCTGTAAATACACTAAGACCTGGAAGGCTAGGCATCCCTTGGGTAGTTTGAATAGAGAGGATTCCCTTAAAAGGCAAAATATAGCAACAACAAAATTTTTCATTTCTTATCAGTATCTGTATAATTCATGACTTTAATAATGTTTCTAGTCAAGAAACTGCAAAGTTTAGATATGTCTGCTACGTTTTTATTTGCCATATACACTTCTCAACTGAGGAATACCAAATGGCTGAGAACCACCTAAACAAATGAATTCTTAGTCATCAGGGAAATGCAAATAAAAACAGTCCTGAGACTCCACCTCATACCAGTCAGAATAGCTAAGTTCAAAAACTCAGATGACAGTAGATGCTGGTGAGGATGTGGAAAAAGAGGAACACTCCTCCATTGTGGTGGGATTGAAAGCTGATACAATCACTCTGGAAATCAATCTGTCAGTTCCTTAGAAAATTGGACATTGTGTTACCTGAGGATCCAGCTATACCACTTCTGGGCATATACCCAAAAGATTCTCCAACATGTAACAAGGACACATACTCCACTATGTTCATAGCAGCCTTATTTATAATAGCCAGAAACTGTAAAAACACCAGATGTCCTTCAACAGAGGAACAGATACAGAAAATGTGGTACATTTACACAATGGAGTACTACACAGCTATTAAAAACAATGAATTCATGAAATTCTTAGGCAAATGGATGGATCTAGAAAATGTCCTCCTGAATGAGGTAACCCAATTACAAAAAAAAAAAAAAAATACACATGGTATGCACTCGCTGACAGGTGGGTATTAGCCCAAATGCTTAGAATACCCAAGATATAACTCACAGACCACATGAAGCTCAACAAGATTGATGACCAAAGTGTGGGTGCTTCAGTCTCTCCTAGAAAGGAGAACAAAATACAAATAGGGTCAAATACAAAGACAAAGTGTAGAGCAGAGACTGAAGGAAAGGCCACCCAAAGACTGCCTCACCTGGGGATCCACTCCAAGTAGAGTCATCAAACCCAGACACTATTGTATATTCCAAGAACTGCATGCTGACAGGAACCTGATATAGCTGTCTCCTGATAGGTTCTGCCAGAGCCTGACAAATACAGAGGCAGATGCTAGCAGCCAATCTTTAGTATGAACACAGGGTTACCAATGCGGTCCCAAGTGGAGGAGTTAGAGAAAGAACTGAAGAAGCTTAAATGAAATTTACAACCACATAAGAAAAACAATGTGAAATGTAAATAAAAATATCCAGTAAAATAAAATAAAATAAAATAAAATAAATAAAGTATAAAATGTTTAAGCCTCCAATTCATCCTGTTTTGAAATTTGCTTGGCTAATTTCTATGTAATGTTTAGCCTTTTATCTTTTTATATAGTATCACAATAATAATAGTAGCTTCTTCATATTCATCTTATCAAAACTGTGTGGAGCATGGGAAGAATTTGACTCATTATAAGAAATTATAAAAAAAATTCTGTTCATTTCAGGACAGCCCAGGCTATACAGAGAAACCCTGTCTAAAAAAAACAAAAACAAAAACAAAAACAAAATAAAATCAAAATAAAAGAAAATGTAACAAAAAAACAAAAAAAATTATTCATTGTAGCAAATGCAATCCAAGAAACAAAGGATTTTTCCACATCTCCTCCTCTTCCTTCTCTTCCTCCTCCTTCTCCCTCTCTCCTTTCCCTTCCCTCCCCCTCACTCTAGATTTTTCTGTGAATGTACATATATGTGTGTGAGTAGCAGAGATGAACAACAAGAGAGATACATATAGAGATAAAGAGATACAAAGGAGAAAAAAAAAGAGAAAGAGAGATAGAGAATTAAAATGCAAACTTGTGCATGTGAATGCATGTGGGTGCATGCTATTAGCATTCTAACATTCTCCACCTGGGTTTCTTCCCCTCCTCCCTTCTTCCCTCCTTCCCTCCCTCCCCCCTTCCCTCCCTCCCTCTGTCTCTCTGTCTCTGACTCTGTCTCTCTCTCTCTCTCTCTCTCTCTCTTTCTTTCATTCTTTCTCTTTCTTTCTTCTTCCCTCCCTCCCTCCCGCCCTCCCCTCCCTCCCTTCTTTCTCTCTCTCTCTTTCTCTCTTTCTCTTTCTTTCTTTCTTTCTTTCTTTCTTTCTTTCTTTCCTTTCTTTCTTTCTTCCTTTCTTCCTTTCTTCCTTTCTTCCTTTCTTCCTTTTCAAAGGTTGAATATCTCACAGAACTTTCAGAGTTCATAAATTTGCTCTAATGGTTGATCAATGAGATCGGGTGATCTTCCTTTGTCCACTATTCCAGCCTTTGTGTTACAGATATACACAACCATGACCAAATTTTATGTGGGTTTTACAGATGCAAACTCAAGACATCATTATTTTTTGGCAGATATTTTGTCTACAGAACCATTTCTACCATTTTGTGGTTTTTATCTTTTTATCTCTTTTTTGTTTTATTTTTCTGCAAGGACTTGAAATTGAAACTAGATTTATATAGACATAAGTCTACTGTAGTCATACATTTTACAAACTCAGGTCAGTACATGTATTTACTCTTAATTGAAATATAGTAGCTCCCTTGTGTCTGACATGTCTAATTTCTGTCTTTTTTTTTTCCTGCTGCCTTGCTGCCTAGCAGATTGTAGATGTTATTCTATATGACAACCTCTCTATAACATTTTACAGTAGAACAATCATAGAAAAGGGCATTTCACTTTTATAAATATTGATGATACTTTTTGTAGTAAAACCCTTGACACACTATTTCCTAAAAGCAAAATTAAAATAAAATAAACAAAGAAAACAAAGAAAAAATATTCACAATCTTTTACTAGAAGTAAGAACAAGAAAGAAGTACATGTATGAAAATAGCAGAGGTACATTGCCAGTACTCATATATGATGCTCAGAGAAAATTTCCTCATACAATACTAAGAATCTCCACAGGATGATACAGAGATCACAGTTTATGGAATGACCTCATGTTCCATGACTGGGTAAATGGAAATATCTTGTGGACTCACATTAAAACTTACATGCACACACAGCAACATACAACACACGCACACATACACAAACACATACACACAGGAAGAGGGGTGCCAATGCAGACACATACCCAGATGAACAGACAGACATATTATTAAACATAATGAATAAAAACAAAAACATGCTCATATCTGAAGCATGTAGCCATAATTTTTTTTTAAAAAAAATAACTGTCAGTTAACGATCCACAGAAAGTAAGCCCATTATGAGTTTCTGAATAAAATTCCCATCAGCTATTTTGCATGTAGGTTTCACTTACATGCTGACTAGTGGGGACCTTGGCATTTCTTCAGAGTAATGTGATCACATCTGAAGGCAATTATTCTGATTACAGAGGATGTTATCTGTTGTCACAGGTATGTATTAGTTTTGCTTATTGTATTTTTTAATGTCTTCTTAATTCAAATATTTTTAAAGATTAATTTTATTACTTTATACTTATATGTAAGTTTAGTGCACCACAGTTGTACACAAGTAGCCTCTAGATATGAGAGGATGGCATCAGAACTTCATGAACTAGACTTTGGCAAGTAGTTGTGAACTGCCATATGTGTGTGAGAAACTGAACCCCAGTACTCTACCCCCCCCCCATAGTAAGGATGCAATATTAACTACTGGGTCATCCCTATTCTCAAGCTCCTTGTCACAGTTTTCTAAGTAGAAATATTTTACTTTTGTATTCATCTAATGTGCTGGCTCCCATATGCCAGAAAAAGGTGACAGATCTTCTTGGATTTAGAGTAACAATCCATTGTGAGTCAGTAAATTTCCATGTTGAGAATTCAGTTCAGGTCCTTTGCAAGAACAGTTAGGATTATTAACTGCCAAGCCTTTTCAAATCTACTGTCATACTTGTTTTAATTCAACTATACAGATTACATTTTTAAACTTAAAAGTGACTATAATTATTCATAAAAGACTGAACACCCAATCCTGAATTTTTAGTGTTACTTGCATGATTTGTTCTTTGTAGTACTAGAAATGATTTTGTTTTCTGTTCACTGTTAAGGTTTTTTTCCCCCTTCAAATGCCGAAATACATATATAATTAAAAAAATCAGAAATGGATTTCAGCTTCTCCACTAGGAACAGGTTGGATTAAAATTTTACATTCATCCCAATTTACCAATTTCAGCACAGGCACAGCTGCTTGCTAAAGTGAGGTGGATCCCTAGAGAAGGTTTCAGAAGCTTTGCATGTTTAAAAGGTATTTAACAAACACTGTTGCCTTTAGGAGCAGATGCTAAAGACTCACACAGTCCTTGAGGATTGTTTACAACGCTGGCCACATCCTCAGTTCATGATGAGGAACCTAAATAATCTGTGATTCTATTGAAGAAGAGTATGTTGAATACCAAATAATAAAAAGGAGATTTTCACAGGAAATATGAAGGAACTGATTTGCACACTGTCTAAGATTTATATGGGAAATTTATAGAATGTTTATGAAATATGCTTCAGCCACTATGTATTTTTTTTCTGAGACTGCATGCCAGATTATCCTTCTTTTTCTAGAAGTCTCCATGAATAAACATTTGTGATGTCCTCTGATAGGACATCAGATGATTGCCTGTAAATGTGTTTGATGTCAAGCTACACTAAACTATAGCTACTACAGCCACTCTTATAAATACTATGTGGTTTTATATAAATGGCCTCATAGTCACCTGTGTGCATATTTGGCCCAGAGAGACTATCAGTACTAGGTGGTGTAGCTTTGAGTATGTGTGGCCTTGTTGGAGGAAGTGTGTCACTATAGAACTGGACTTTGATGTCTGATGTCTGAGGATCAAGATGTAAAAATCTCAGCTGCCTTTCTGACACCATGTCTGCCTGCATGTAGCCATTTTTCTCACCATGATTACAATGGACTAAACCTCTGAAGCCAGCCGTAGTTAAATGTTTTCCTCTATAAGACTTTCCCTGGAGACTTCCGGTTTGTGACCGAGCCTAGAGCAGGTCGCAGGCAGCAGCTCCGTACCCAACCGCAGAAAACCAAGAAAAACAGGGACTCCCAGGAGCTTGAACTCACGCAGCATCCCAGGTAAAATTGAATCACCCGTGATGCCTGCTATTAGAAGTTCTAACCCAGATGGACCAGAAGCCAGGAGCCTCGCCCTTACCCTCACCCCCTACCTTTTCCCACCTGCACAAGGTCCCCTGAAGCTGGGCAACTGCAAGATCCTGCTTGGCAACTGCAGATAGACTCAAAGCAGTGTACCATATCATCTGAAGAATAGCAGGGAGACCATAACTCAAGCAGTGTACCATATCTTCTGAAGAATAGCAGGTTGCAGTCCTCCTCGCCCCCACGAATAACCAGGACCCACCGGTTGGGTCAAGTGGCACCCAGACGTGGAGCTCGAGGCACGGACCCATCCGGACAGACCCTCATTGAGAGGATGTGCGCACGAAATCAAGATTGAGCAAGACAGAGATCATCGCCCGTGACCTGTCGTCCACGGAACCAGGTTGATGCTGCCATCAAGAAGGCAGTTGAAGTTCATTACCATCAGCTGAAAATTGCAGAGGATCCAGAAGTGACTCCGCAGGAGACTGACACAGCTGTCAGCTCCCCTGCCTCCCCCTACGGTCGACCCCTAGACTTCCACGCCCTCCAGAAGGGTTCCTGGTATGCCTGGCTTTGCCCTCATTTCTCTCGCTAGAGAGCTTGGCCTCTTGATCACCACAACAAAAATTGGCTTTTTCCTAAACCAAGGCCACCCTTGATATGGCCGCTAACATTGGGGAGCCTTCCTCTATGACAATATTACACCCCAAACTGACAAATGGTTGGTAACTTGAACATTTACAAGAGTCTAGGATGGCTGTGAGTTAGCCCAATGACGGGATTATTGTAGGTCCACTTCCCAGGGGCCCACCCAATGCAGCCGAAAAGGAGTGCGTGGTGCTGGGAGTGGGTGCAGCCTACATGGCCTAAGACAGGGCTCTCACCCTCCTTTCACCCACATCAGAGTCCCTTGACGTTGCCCATCGTCGACAGCCTAAAGCCTTCGACCATCGATGTGACTCGTCTCACATCAGTATTTTGGGGTTGTGAACTTGTCTAAGACCCCCCATAATTAGACATCCAAATTCAAAACTCACATAGTTGGGATTGAACATAAGACGCCTTCTCTAACTAAACAGAGAAGGGGGAGATGCCAGAAGCCAGGACCCTCGCCCTTACCCTTACCCCCTACCTTTCCCCACCTGCACAATGTCCTCTGAAGCTTGGCAACTGCAAGATACTGCTTAGCAACTGCAGATAGACTCAAAGCAGAGTACCATGTCTTCTTAAGAATAGCAGGGAGACCATAACTCAAGCAGTGTACCATATCTTCTGAAGAACTGCAGGTAGATCATAATTCAAGGCAGTGTACCATATAGACCATGACATGTTTCAAGGCACAGGCCAAGAAGATTTTGTACTTTTCCACCACCTGGACCCTCTTACCCCCTCCCCTTGTAAAACATGCTATAAAAAAGCATTTCATGTTCAAAAAAAGAAATAAAAAAAAAAAAGACTTTCCCTGGGCATGGTGTCTCCTCACATCAATAAAAACCTAACTAAGACAAATAACTCAGTATCTCAAATTTTTCAACTTTCTCCTAAGACCATCAACTGACTTTTATGACTACAGAATTCACATAGCACCACTGTACTCTGACATCTTAAAATCTTCTAAAATAATACAGTTAGGACCTTTTTATAAAAAAAATAGTATAAGGTACAATACAAAGTGATGGGTTTCCTTGTGAATTTTCATATACAAATATCACCCATAGTTCATCCTCATTGTACATTTACTCATCCCTTTATCTTCTGCCTTCTAATAATTCTATATTTAATACTTTCATTTTTATTATTTTGTTCTGTGAACACCTTATTGTGATGGCAAATATTGGGATCTAGAATCACCTAGGGTATACAATTCAGGGCATGCCTGAGAGGGAGTTTCCAGGTTAAGTCAGCTAAACTGCGAAGATTCATTTTAATGTGGGCAGTGCCACCCATGGCTGAGGAAATGGACTGAGTAAAAAGAGAAAGTGAGCTGTCTGTCCATCAGCAGCCATCTTTCCCTTCTTCCTTCCTGTGGATGCCATATGCCAAGGGACTTCACATCTCTGCTCCTGAGACTTTCCTGCAATGGAGGGCTGTATGCTCAAATTGTGAGCCAAAATAAACTCTTCATCTCTGTATTGAATTTATTTTTATTTTTTATAGTACAGCATAACTATTTCTTCTTTAAACTTCACTCATGATTTTCTTTGATCTCAAACATACATTCAGCCATATTAGAGCACATAGCTGAATGATCTAACTGTTTTTTATTCACTACCACCCACTCTGTTGTGTTTTCATTTTTTGAGTTCAGTTTAGATTCAGTACCTTGAAACTATCAGTGCTTCTTTTAGTAGATTGTCATCTCCCTTAATGATACTTTTTTAAATTTACATGTTTTGATTCACATTTAAGCCAAATCAAGCCCATTAAAGGGGACTCATTTAGCATAAAATATGATATTTTTAAACATTTTTTACCTGACTGAAAAGTTTGTTATTCTGTTTGGCTTCTGCTTCCATGTTATAAGCAGGTCACCTGATTCTTTCACCTCACAGCGAGGAGGTGTGTTTCTGTCTTTACCTGTACTTGGAATTCTTTACCAGATCCCAAATTCTCACCCACTCTGGGAAGTTGTAGGGTTAAAGGCTTTGGCTCAAAAATGAGTGCATGTCTTACCAAGAGTAACCCCTTTGGTCAGATCTATTAAGTTGGATTTGCCTCACTTTGGTAGATGTTTGGCCTGAGACAGCAGCTTTGGTAGTTTACCAAGGCTTTTGCAAAAGAGTCAGCCTTCCATCTTGCTTCATTGTACCATAGAAATTCTGCACTACATGCACCAATTAGTGGCCTGAAAAACTACAGAACAAGAATAACCAGAGCAGGTTCCTCCCTCATGATGCTACTGTGCTCTGCCTTTGGGAAAAGCTCTAAGTTTTGTATTCTCTTTTAAAATTTAGTATGGGCTTCTTTACTATATCTCTGTATATTCCTGCTTTTTAGCTAAGAACACATCCTAGCCACTCATTTGTGTTGTTCTGGGAAGCTTTGGCTTTGGTCTGTTCTCTCTCTCTCTCTCTCTCTCTCTCTCTCTCTCTCTCTCATTCTTCTTTCCTTCCTTCCTTTTTAAGAGACCTGATATCTTGTCTGACTAGTCTGACTTTTTCTTTTTCTTTTATTTTATCCAAGCCTTTTTAGCTGTTAGTGGTCACTAAGAAAAAGATCACTGAGGTAAAATCATGCAGGAAGTGTTTTCTGAGAGCACAAAGAACCTATTTTCCAGAATTCTCCAAGACTGTACCTCATGATGCAGCTGAACATGGCAATGTGTAAGAATTACCCAGGTAGTATTTGTTTTGAAGGCATGACATGGTCATGAAGAACAGCTGAAGTTTGGCCCAATGAGAAGGTAGAGAAAGCTATTGGTGAAGGTGGTGCCTCAGTTGCAGTTGATAGTCCAGGTCTGAAAAGAGGTCCTAAAAAGAAGTTGTGGTTTACCACCCTAATGGGAGGCTATGAGAGGCTATTGGTAAAACTTAGTTAAGGTGTAATATTCCAGCAAGTTGGAGGTGCCAGTACTGTGGAATGACCAGGAAGAGCAGCAGCAGCCAGCAGTGGAGTGGTGTCAAACATAGCCTAGAGTGCTACAAATGTCTGAGCTGGAGAAGTGACCCAAGCCCTTTTGGAGGAGACCAGAAGATCATGTGTGGATACCAGACATTAGAACAAGAAGCTGTATATTTGAAGTTGCTTAGGATAATCCATTATGTAGAGATATCAGAGCTGTGGGATACATAGCTAGGAAAGTTGCTAACTGAGAGTGAAAACACCCCAAGAGAACAAAGTTAATGATGTTGAATTCCAGATATGCCAACAGCAGTCATCGTGGATGACAGCAGTTGGAGATCTGAAGAGCATTTTGGCACTGGACATGGAAATACAGAGTTTGAAGTTTCCCAGCTGGTTTTCAGCCTTTCTATGGTCCAGTATTTCCTTGCTATGACATTTTGGACAGGTAATGTATACCCAGTGCTATGAGATGTTAGAGGGATGTGATCTACATTTTGGTATTTGTTTTAAAGGGTATTTCAATTAAGTGATTGGATAAATGTCAGAAGAGACTTTGAAATTTTGCCCTTTGACAATGTTGAGACCGTTATGTCTAGGTATAGTCCCATAAACTCAGGTGTTTGAACAACCCTTTGGGAGCCAAAGAGTGGAATGTGGTGGTTTGAATATATTTGGTCCAAGGTGGCACTATTAGGAGGTATGTCCCTGTTGAAAGAAGTGAGTCACTGAGGGGTGGGGCTTTGAGTCCCTCCTCCTACATGCCTGGAAGTCAGTTTTCTCTTGTTTGCTTCAGAACAAGATGTAGAATTCTCACCTCTTCCACTGAAGCACAATGCCTGCCAGGACTCTGCCATGCTCCACCATGATGATAATGGACTGAACCCCAAAATTTATAAGCCTTCCCCAATTAAAGTTGCCATTTATAAGAGCTGCCTTGATTATATAGTCTCTTCATAGCAATGGAAATCCTAACTAATACAGACACTTTTTGGGTAAACAGGGGCCGAAATTCAGCCTAAGTTACTGAGGGAGTCTGTTAAAGTAGGTTTCTTTTTATCAAGGTGCTTCTTAATCCACCTGCCAAGGTCAAATACCTTACCAGAGATAGCAGTCTGGTCCTTAATAAACTGTTCTTTTTTTTCCTCACAGAATGGTACAGTTTGGTAGTCACACTGAGTCCCTGAGAATAGTCTTATTCTAAAGCTGATAGTGACAGTGTCTTTTTCCTAAGCAGATTGACCTCACAATCTTATACAATTAGCCACCATTGAAAAGGCATTTTCAGAAATGAAGAAAGTGAGAACAGATGAGTCATTTCCAGTCATAAAGGGATAGGACTGTGGTCAGTGTAGTAGTGATGAGTAACA